ACAAGAAGAGGTCAAAATTGATGTAGTGGATTGTGATGGCATAACACCCTTGCACTTGGCTGCTTTCAATGGTCATAAAACAGTTGTCCAGATCCTTCTCGATGCAGGCGCAGATCATAACATGACGTGCAATGGGGAATCAATTTGCAACATATGCTGTCGGAGAGGTTCTACTGATGTGACACAACTTTTATCAGGATTCCAGGAAACTACGCAATCTGTCAAAAATAGTGAGCAAACTCATTCCGTGACTCTGCCAAGGTATTTAATGACAGTCTTAGATACAGATGGCATCGGAAGGAGTCCACAATCAAATCAGGCACGCCATATTATCTGCGTTGTAACTGCTTTCATAAAAGACCTGATGAAAGCTGTTGGAAAAGCTGACCCACGTTTTGCTTGTGAAGTCACCTTATCAGGGAGTAATGCTGAATCCTGCAAAGTTGGGGAGCCCAATGAGTTCGACTTTATGTTCTATTTGCCATCCTTAGCTGAAAACTTTGCACCATCCTATACCCCTGACGACACGCCAGGCTACTGCAAAGTTGAATTTAAAAAAGGCAAGGACAGTGAACTCGTGAGAGACTTGTTAAAGGATGGCAAATATCTCTTCCCGCAGAGAATCAAAGCCTGTCTCTTCAGCTTGATTGAAGATGTATTCTTATCTAAGAGGGTCAAGGTTCCACAAGAAATTCGCTTTTATCTCCAGGAATTTTTGCCAAACAGTAGTAAACATAGAATAGTCAGTGAAATCAAACCGGGTTTTATTTTGCACTTCGAATGGAGACGGGGATTGTACACAGGTATGCAGATAACAGCTGACGTGATTCCTACTCTGCCCTTTGCCTATCATAACGAGGTTTCACTGAATTACACCACCCAATCGCGAGACGTCTTGTCAGGAATGGAAAACTCGGGCGCTGCTTTGGAAGCTAGTTTATCCACACTGTATCTAATCCCAACACCAATCTCAAGGCATGCTACACATTCCTTTGAAAACGTAGTTTGGCGCATCTCTACTTCCAAACTGGAAACGAAGATCCTTCGAGGAGTAGCTGAGTGTAAGAGGAACACATACATTCTTGGAAAGGTCCTTCTACAACGCAGTGGACAAGTGCCCGATACAGATGGACTTGGATCTTGTGCATATTATGTACACACCTATCTTTTGAAAACTGCATTTCTGTATGAACTGGCAAGAGTTCCAGCGGACGAAGAATGGGAGACAGGTAACGCCGTCACCAGGTTGTTGCAAATATTTGAACTCTTAAAGAAGAACATCAAATCTGGATGTGTGAATTCCTTCTTCTTCAAGGAATACAATCTTGTTGTCACTGAGAACACCGTAACCGAGATAAACGCTAGAATTTGGATAATAGATGCAATACTGTTATTTCTTTCTGGCAAATATGACTTGCAGCTGGAACAAAACGAACCCCGGAGTCTTGAAAAGATGCTACAAGATCAAAGACCAGGGTCTATTTCCACCAGGGAGGTGAATAAGTCACAAAGGCAAGAATTGTCCAGCTCTTAGAATTTACTCTCTTAGGATCTAGAGCTGAAGTGTCAATGTTGTGGAAATGTTTTGCTTGTAACTGTGGTGGGAACGCTATGTTAACTATGATGTGTGTTAAATTTCAGTATGGGAGAAGTCTGGAGCCAAGAGATAAAAGTTGCTCCTTTTGTCAAAACAAAGATATGTTATACGTAAAAGCAAAGGTTTCAGTTTAGTTTAGACCAACCAATTTTCCTATGAATAGAGTTAATTAACTAAATAAATGAATGAATACAAAATAACCAGGAATAACTCTTGGCAGGAGAGAACAGAACTTTTGTCCCTGTCGACACTTAGCACCATAAATACGTTTCAGTTCTGTTGATTTCTTAATTTTAGTAACGTACGTACGTTTGTTTTGATAAAGGTTAAGAATCGCGTTGAAATAGTGGAGGGTCAAAAGCACTTAAAAAGGAAATAATCGCAAACAAAAAAAAGTACTCAAACACGCAAAGCTCGCGTGATCTGAACTTCAAGACTTAAGGTTGCTCCGCCATTAATACTGGAGCATTTAGCTGTGACAAATTTCCCGTCATAACTTTTTCGTTTTTAACGCGATGGCTGCAAAAGTTTGCAAAGAACAACAGAAGTCATTCGGTAATAATGTGAAATATTTCAATTTCATTGATGGTAAATATTTCTTGAGAAATTAGCACTTAAAAGAACCTTGCTGTTCAAAGTGCTGGACAGTTCTATCTGAGCTTCGATACAAGGTAGCTTATAATCCCACTACCTTTTTCCTGAATTGGAAGCAACGTACAGCAGGGAAAAGCCGTTGAGGATGCATTGCAATGCATCAAAATGTATGTAGCAGGAGTTTGAGCCAAAACTGCCAAGGGATATTTTAAAAAAGTCGAGGAACAAGTCGTTCTACTTCAGAGCAAGGTTTGGAGCAATTTATAGTACTTCTAAAACTAAAAAGTACCTGTTAAAGAATAGCACGATAGGCAATCGGCTTTTGTTTTAAGAATTAGCAAACATTGAATTTCCTTGTCCGAAAATTCAAACTGGTGTCTCTTACTACCTGATAGCAATTTATTTTTGAAATTGCAAAACAATTTCACAGCTGAATTTTGAGCGACTATTAGTTACGGACTTCTGCTCGAACGATTTTTCTGAAATTCCTCTGGCATATTTATTATATCAACTAGGAGTAATCAGAGCTTAGGAGAGTGCGTTCGATGTTTGTTAGGCGTACAAGTAGCAGTTGAGGGGGAAGAGTGGTTGCGATATAGATAAATATGATTATGGCATATTTTGAACGTAAGGGTTGCGTACAGCGAAACCTCTATTTAAACTGTGTATCATTATAAGAAGGTTTTGAAAAGATATCGTATGTTTCGGTGTCAAGTGCTTGTCACTGCGAGTGCGTCGGGCGTGTAAATAGAACATTTTGTTTTACTGGCGCGAGTTACAGCGCGGCGCAGTTGTTCAAGGGCCGAACAGTGCTTAACCCGCGATTCTTTTTCTTTCTTCCAAAACATTTCTTCGGATAATTTTCTCTGTTATTTTTAAGACCATCCAATCGTCCACTTTTTGACAAAATGAATTACATTGAATTTACTGCTTTAAAAGCTTTCACATCTGAATTCAAACTTCGCACTAACCCTGTCAAAGCCTTCAATGGAATGTGTGTGCGGCTCACGTCAATAACTTTTCCAGTAATTTGGTCGAGCGTATTGATTTCAGTGACTCGAGAGTGGCGCTACTGTGGGCTGGTTTACAAGTTTTTCCTAATGAATAACAGAGTTCAAGTGTTCGTTTGTCCGGTGCCGAAAGTATCACAAGTCATGATCCAATGGCGCCGCCGAGCTATACACAACTCCGTAGATTTACTTTGTGGCACAACGGCCGCCGAGCTACACAACTCGGTAAATTTACTTTGTGGCACAACGGCCGCCGAACTAAACCCGCCTTGATGTATGCACCAGGAGTCGCAGACATTTTCCAAAGACAGTGACGAACCATGTTGCAAAATATGAAGGCTTAATCCAAATTAAAATTTAACAGTAAACTTCTGAAAGATGAACGCTTTGGACGATTCAGCAAACACAGATGGATGTACGCTCTACGAAGATTCAGCAAACTTTTTAAAAGATCAACGCTTTACGAAGACTGAATATCAGACCTCAGACTGAAAACCTTTGAAAACGTGGGCAATCGCCTCAAAGCGAGGCAAATGTGTGCCGACGACGAGAATGCTGAAAATGCAATCTCAAAAAAACCTCCCTTATTAATTGCACAGGACACCCAATAATGCACAAAACACCCAACACAAATTAGGGGTTGCGTTCTCCTACCTTGAACGCAATTAAAGCCGATACCAGAAATTTCAGTAAAAAACATCAGCAATTTTTTTACTAGACGCGATTTTCTTTGAACAGTAAGGTCCTTCTAAGCGCTAATTTAGCAAAACATATATATTTACCATCAATGAAATCAGAATATTTCGTACTATTACCGAATGATATCTGTTGTTCTTAGCAAAGTTTCTCAGCCATCGCGTTGAAAACGAAAAAGTTATTACGAAAACTTCGTCACAGCTGAATGCACCTGTATTAATGAGACGGAGCAACCTTAAATATTCGGGAAGGAAGGCTCGCTTCTGTAAGGTTATCCAAGAAAGTTTTGGATTCTGGATTTCACCCTGTGGATTCCGGTTTCATAACGCTCTACTAGTTATTCAAAATTTACATAACGCTTGTACTCCATTGTAATTGACAATCAGTCAACTAACTTATGAACGTAATACCACTGGTAACTAAAGCCTGGCTATGCTTACATGAAATAACGGGGTTTTATGACCTTTTTGCTGTCTTGTACAGCCTAACAGCTAAGAGAGATAACTTTTTTATATTGCATCTAGGATATCACCAATAAAAATCTATTTACAAAACTATTTACCATCACGTGGTCAAAAAATAAAGGAAGTATTTTCGTAAGGAACCTAATAAAATTTACTAGGCTATAAAAACAAGAATCTAGATTATAGTATAGTACGCTATAAAAACAACAGCGGAACGTCCCTAGCAACGAGAAGTGAGGAGAGACGGCTGATTTCGTTGGCGAAGGAATAGGGGTGTAAACAGTACATGTAAGGAGTTCCCAATTTCTTGTTTATTACGCAGATAAAACAAGGTAAAAAGTAAACATTCTGCAGGCCTATATATAACACAAGAGTTATAACTGTCCTGGAGTTGATATTTTTGGTTTATCCTTTGGAAGGGAGATTTTCTTCGTCACGCAATCCTCGGCTTGTTCGTCACCGTCTACTCAGTTATTTCGACTATCCATCAATTAGCAATTGTGTGATGGTAAAAATAGCGTGGAAACCAAAGGCTGTGGTTTACTGTGACAATAAACTGCTAGCTTCAGGTAAATATCTTGGACCTTATTCAAGCTTTTCTGGTTATGAGAAATACCTTGATCTTAAATTTTGCTTATTTTACTTGATAAGGTTTATTAAGACCTCCTCTGGATGAAGTATTATCTCCTTTACTTTTTTAGCCAATTCATCACACCTTTGGCGACCGAAGAATTGGAACAAATTTAAATGTGTCATGAAGTAATGAGGGCAGTTGAACTGTCTCAAACAGTCTTCCAGTCTCTGTAGAAAGCTGACGAATCTCTCACTTAAACTATCATAGCTCCATTGGTTTGGATGTGGATAAGCTTCACATTCGTCTAAGAAGATGGTTTTGAGGTGATATGGTGTCAATGGATGAAGATGCAACTCCTCTCTCAGGGCCTTCAAAATTCTTAAAACCTGTTTGCCGCAAGAGCTGGCTTCACCGTGGCCTCCGAGGAGAAACACCTTTTTTTCAGCTGCAGAGAAAGAAAATCTCCAGAAAATTCCGTTTTCATCTTCAGGAATGTTGTCTCCTTTTGGTTGTTTTGCAACAAGATGACAACCACCGTCACGAATTTCTTGTAAGAGCAGTGAATTAGGCCAACCTAAATTACCAAGTAGAAAAATAACAACAATTGTTACCAATAAAACGAGCATTCTCCCTGTGAACATGAGTTTCTGCATCTGCATGGCTCAAACGATAATCCCAGTGGTCATCTGGGGGGATCCTCAGAGGGGCAACGAACTTCTGTAGAACTGAGAGTATGTATAGGGAGGACTATCTACATTTACCGAATCATTAGCAACATGAAAGTGAAAACATATAAGGAAAAAGGCACTCGTTTACTCAACACAAATAAAGCGACAGGGAATTCACCAGGATACATTTTGCTACGGGAGATTACGTAAACTGTGCTTACCTCGGGAGAAACCCAGGCTAGGTCCCGGTCGCCTTGTAATCCACTCAATAGCTTCATCGGGCCAGTCAATGAATTTGATAGCCAAGGTCAAGTCTACAGAATACTTTGTGCCATCATTTGTGTTGGTTATGTACAGGGTGATTGCTGGACCATTTGACTTAACAGCAACAAATCTGAAAATGGGAATTAGCAGGGAATGAATTCATCTTTTTATTGTCAGTGTCAAATTCGGAGGTCGTGGGTTTGACTAGCAGCGAGATTTTTTAAAAAATAATTTCTTATCTCAAGCTGAGCTCCCTCATTCGCTATGCTCCCGCGAACGCTCAGTGGGAATTTCTGAGATTATGCGTGACTGTTAAATTTAAATGCTAAGTTAACTCCGTCTTCTGTCATTTGAGTTACAAGTGCTGCTCGGCTCAACATTTTAAAGTAACATTCATTTCCTCTCTTTGCCGCCCTTCACTACCATAATGGTATCCCCTGACCTGTCCGCATCAGGTCATCTCGCTCAGTCAGATCAACCACAGTAGATCTAACGCTGAGGCCATGAGTTCAATTCCCACCACGGTTCAAAGAGTTTTTTTCTTTGCTTGACCGTGTGGTTTTCATAATTCGAGATGCTTTACAGTCAAACCCGGTCAAGCGTTCCCGTCGCTAACAAACTAATGAATTCATTAATGGAAAAATGATTTCGTTTGTTGATTCAATAATCCATTCATAAAATGAATAATCCAACGGTCAAATTGTACCTCGATTCAATAATCAAATGTTGATTTGGTTTATGAACAAAATCTACCTGTTCTTTATTCTTGTCTGTTGTGTTCAATCGTATTTGCTTCCCTTTTCCTGCCGTTTACGATTGCGTTTTTGATTGCCTTTAATCAAAATAACAGCTAGAATAGACAGACCGCAAACGCAAAGAAACTGACAAAGGCCGAGGATCGAAATCCACCAATCACCGCACATACCGTGGCACTGACCTCAGTTTGACCGTCGTGTTTTCTAAGAGGTCAGGCCTAGGTCTGTTGCACTGATTATTGGCAGCAAACTGGCGTACATGTAACAGTTTGTTTGGGTTTGAACATCAGAACTCGCCAGCACTCGACTCTCAGAAAAAAAAAGAGGAAAAAACAAAATTCTGAGGTCAACTTGTGGAAAGTGGAATTTTTCAAAAAACAGTAATCGAATCAACATTCGATTATAGAATCGAGGCTAAATATGACTATTGGATTGTTCATTTTATGAATGGATTATTGAATCAACAAACGAAATCATTTTTCCGTGAATGAATTCATTAGTTCGTTAGCGACGGGAACGCTTGACCTGGTTTGACTGTAACCCAAAATAATCGTTTTTTTTTTTCATTTGATAGTTCAATTCAAATCCTTTATTCATTATTCTGCTCGGCATCCACTCCGAAACTTTTAATTGTCGTAGACGACTTTAACGCCCAACTTATGCAAGAGAAATAGATCTTTCAATCGATAACCAACTGTTGGCGGTTTAATCTAGTCGGCCTGAGGGAAAAACGACAAAAAAACATGTATCTTTCACAACAAAGTGGGATGAACAATTTTGTCCAGTGAACAAATAAAAGCCTAATGAACTCCCAGCAAAAGGCGAAAACGGAGGATTAAGAGCAAACTAGCGGCGAGCAGGGAAAGCCTGAACTAAAAAGCTGTAATTTAGCAATCTGTAAAAAAGGAAGAACCCTCGTTTTTTACCTTCTTGACGTAAAGCTTTTGCCGTTTTTTGTTAATGGTTATACTGGAACACGAGGCGGATTACATTTTTGAGAAAGGCCCATGGCTACTATGGTATCTCTTGTTTAAAGCTATGGGAAACTGAGATAGCTTAATGAGACTGCTTAATAGCTTAATATTAGCCAACGTAGCCGCAAGGAGGACGGTGAGACGCGCGCATAATCGCGTAGTTCCAGAAGAGGTCTATAGTGGTACGAGACTATTGCACACAAGGAAAGAGAACACGCGTTCTGCGCGCGCATGGCTTTTCTCGAGCCATATATATTTTTTTAATGCACGAATGCTTGTCCGCCTCTGTTTAAAAGAGTCTTGTTTGCTTACCTTGAATTAAAACCCAGATTTACAATGGCTTCGCCAACAAGCCTTCTTAAGACTGCTTTAACTTGTGAAGCGTTTAACATTTCCTGTGTGAGACAGCTATCACGCTTCCACTTAAGACGGTTAGCTTCAATATTGATTGATACTCGAACAAATCCTCAACACAGAAAAAAATAAGGAACATAACCTCATTTAAAGCCTGATGTCACAAGGTTTAATTGGAACTATGATTTTGTCGAGTAGTATAAAAGTATTGAAGATAAGTCTTAGATAAAGACAACACGATGGAATTCCGATGTATAAAACTCTTTGCTTAGAAAGTGGATACGCTTTTAGGTACGTTTTATCAGTGTCTTGGGTAAAAGACCTTGTCACGGTTTTGGAAGCCATCTTGACAACCGCGTGAGAAATTACAGAGTTTGTATGAGAATCTACGGTGCGTTCGATAGGGAGATCCGGATTTAGATTTTCAAAATCTAAATCCGGATTTCCCAATCGAACGCGAAATCCGAAAACGGATTTCACCTCTAAGAAATCCGTCCTCAGGGTGGATTTCAATTGAGAAATCCAAATCCGGATTTCATTGATTTCCTTTTTACGGTTCGATTGGGAAATCCGAAAAAGGATTTGCAAAACTATTCTCGTGAACAGTGGTCTTCCTTTTGCTCAGTATACGTGCGCGTGCAAGACCACTGTTCTTACAGACAGTTTTTAAAATCCTTTTTCGGATTTCCCAATCGAACGGTAAAAATGAAAATCCAAAAACAGACATCTCAGCGTTGAAATCCTTTTTCGGATTTCGCGTTCGATTGCAAATCCGAAATCCGGATTTTAAAATCTTACTCCAGGTTTCCCACTCGAACGCACCCCTAATGTCGAAAAAGACGCTATGGCGCGTACACTTCGGAGTGTGGAACTGATTAATTGTAACTGCGGAGGAATAGTAAGAAATGAAATATGGTAAGACTAAGGTGTTAATTTGTGAAATTATGGGATTTGTCAGGATATTCTGAAAAGAGTAAGATCCAAGAGGCCTACTTGCCAAAAACTAGCATTTCGGGGCAAATGGTCTCTGAGATATTAGCCCAGTTATGCTCTGATGACTCCATACAAATAATTCTACATGTTGCGATGATTCCAACAAAATTTATTCGTTTCTCGTTTGATAAACTCGCTCGTACTCACAAGATCGCTCGCTCTTTTTCTCCTCGTGTTCTAGTGCCAAAACCGGTCCCGACCGGTTCGGCTTACGTCACACACGCACCACAGGAACCCCATTTCGAGTCCGACACTCTCCCCCTATTTGATGCACGCAAGTGGAGCAAATATAATCACACAGCTCCATGCTTATATAACAGCAACAGTTTTAAAGCGTTCTAATAGTTCGTGACTCCGCAAGTCACTGAATCAGTTCTCGCAAAAGGAGCAAATCGAACATACAGCTCCATGGGCTTAACAGTTCTAACAGATTTAACAGTTCTAACAGATCATGACCCCACTCGTCCCTGGGTGTGTTCACTTGTTCTCTTGCTCTGCAATCTCTCTGATCCGCTTCGCCGCAGCTACAGCAGCCCGCCTAGGGGCAAACTCTCTGGCTCGAGGATTAAGCTGCACCGAATTTCTCAACTGTGTGTCCCGTACGTCGCACGACAGCTCCATTGGACATAGCTGTTGGATTGCTCGCTCCAAATAGGACTTCCCCGCTCTCAACCTCGCTGCTCGGACGACGCCGTCACGCCCCTTGATGAGTTTCACTACAACTCCAATGTTCCACTTTCCACGGTTGCGCTCCTCACTCTGAATTAGCACCACATCTCCAACTTTCAGTGTCAGTACCTTGGTCTTGTGTTTGAGATTGTGTCTCTCCCTCAAACTTCTGATGTATTCTGTAGTCCACCTTGACCACAGAATGTCCTTGCAGCGACGGAGGTATCTTGTCCTCTTACGTAGCTCCACATCCTCCACTGACTCTGCATCCTCCTCTGGCAGGAGGTTAGGTAGCCCGTGCATCATGACGTTTGGCGTTAGCACCGGAAGTTCAACATCATCTTCAACATAGGATAACGGGCGGTTATTGACGGCCACCTCCACCTCAAGCACAACTTCTTCAAGCTCTCCGAATGTCAGGTACGCTCGTCCCATAGATTTGTAAAATGACTGTTTCACAACTCCAACCAACCGTTCAAATTGACCGCCCCACCATGGGGCTCTGGCGAGGTTAAACTGCCAAAGGATGTTGTGGTGGGCCAGATAGTCTTGCAATTTCTCCGCCCTCATAACACTCTTGACCCACCTGGATGCAGCCACAAAACTTCTTCCATTGTCCGAATAGATCTTCGTAGGCCTCCCCCGTCTCGCAATGAAATGTTTCAAACACCTGATGAAACCAGCAGTGGTCTGGTCAGTTAGTAACTCTAAATGGACCGCTCTCGTTAGACTGCATGCGAACAGTAAAATGTATGCCTTGCCTTCTTTCTTCTTCGAAATCTTGTAAGTTATGGGCCCGGCGTAGTCCACCCTACTACTTGGAACGGAAATGTCCCTCTGTACGATCCACTGGTAAGTTTCCAGGCGGTGGATTTTGGAGCTTTGTCACATGGAACTTCTTACACCCATAGCAGTGGTTAACCACGTTCTTCGCCAGTTGCCGGAGACGGGGAATCCAATACTCTTGTCTCACATGCGCCATCGTTAGGCCGACTCCCCGTGTAGCGTCAAGATGTGGGCGTCTTGCACCATTTTTTTTCTGATAAGACTACCCTGGGTGGCAAATACACCGGATAATGTCCTTGAATTCTTCCTCTGCACACATAGATTCCTTGGTCATTCTTCTGAAGGTTGAGCCTTTCTTGGTCTTCCAGAAACTTGTCTGTTACACTGTGTCTCTGCTGCTCCCGCCTTATCCACCACTTGACCTGTATCTCCGTCTCAGCTGTTGTCAAGGGTCCGCTTACTCGGTTCCACTTCTTGCTCCGGCAATTTTGAAGGAATCTCATGACCCATGCACTGATTCTGATCGTTCGCCAGAAGGTATGCCTTTCCAGCACTTCATCGAAGTCGTCCCTCGCCTCCACTGCCACTGCAAACACCTCCTTAGTAAGCTTAGCTTCTGCTTCCGTTTCTTTGTTAGGCTCTGTCACTACGTCTCCCGGCCACTCCTCTGGCTTGGACAACCATTGTGGTCCCGGCAACCACACATTACACAGCTGATCTGCCTTGCAGCCCCTGCTTCCTATGTCGGCTGGGTTGTGTTTGGAGTCGACATGTCTCCATTCAATGTAATCTTTGTCGTTGATCTTGCGGACTCTGTTGGCCACAAACTGTTTGTAAGTACCTCCCCCCTTGATCCAGTGGAGTGCGACAGTACTGTCACTCCACCCATGGACTGACTTGATTGGATATCCTTCAAGTGCGACTCTCACGTTCTCCACGAGGTTAGCGGCCATGTGAGCGGACACAAGTTCCAATCTTGGAATTGTAAGATTCTTCTTTGCTAATCTTGACTTTGCTGCTATTAAGCCCTTTCTCACCCCGGAGGCTTGCGTAATCACTGCATAGACGGCCGCTGATGTACCAACTCCACTTGTGTCACCGAATACATGCAACTGGACTCCTTCGATCGCCTCCTTGAACCTTGGTATGCTCCGCAGTACTTCAACCTTGTTGGGGAGGCTCCTCACAAACGTCAGCCACTCTTGTCCAATTCTGTCTGACAGTTTCTCATCCCACGGTAGTCGACTGTCGCATACTTCGCGGTATAGAAGCTATCCCACTAATGTTGTGGGCGACGCTACACCAAGCGGGTCGTACACCGCAGCTAAGAATCGTAGCATTCCTCTCTTAGTGTTATCAACAGGTTCCTCAGGGAAAGTCACTGCAATTGTGTCCTCTCTCTTGTTCCACGGCAAACCTAATATCTTGGATTCACCTTCCTTAACTCCCAACTGTTGCTTTGCGTAACTCTGCTGTTCGTCAACAGGCACCCCATTCCCACCGTCTAGCTGAGGCTCGTGCACCGGAACAACATTCTCACTCTCTAGCTGAGGCTCGTTGGAGTTCCACTTGTGCATGGTAAACTTAGCATCCCCAAACACTGATATGATCGTCTTCTTCAGGTCCTGAACCTCTTCTTTGGTGTTGCCCCCCGTGATGACGTCATCAACGTATAGACTCCTCAAGATCTCGTCTACCTCCACTGGGTATTTCTCTCTTAGGCTTTGCAAGTGCAACTTTAGTGTTCCCGCCAACAAGAATGGCGACTGGACCAACCCGAAGAGCGCTCGCGTGAATCTCAAGGCTTCAATAACCGAAGGGTCCTTGTTCTTGAGCCAGTGGAAACGTAGTGCATCCCGGTCTTCAGGTCTTATGCGTACTTGTAAGAAGGCTTGTTTGATGTCAGCTGCTAAGGCTACTGGCTTTAGGCGATTTCGCACAAGAACGTTCCACAACAGATTCTGCAAGGGAGGCCCCGTTTCTAAGCACTCGTTTAACGACGGACTATCTTCACTTGGCTTAGCCGATGCGTCAAATACAATTCTGAGTTTTGTGGTCACGGCAGTTTCCTTTTTCACTGGTTTGTGAGGGATGTAAAATACTCTCTCGTTTGGCTCGTCTACAACTCTCTCAACTATCCCTTCAGTGAGTTGCTCTTGGATGATCTCATCGTACTTGTCTATCAGACCAGGCTCTCTCTGCAACTTCCTCACTAGACCTTGTAGTCTCCTGATACTTCCGCGTTCGTTCGATTGCAAGTGATCGTGACCCGGCTTCCATAGCAAACCCGATTCGTACCAACCTTCGTCACTTCGGTTCAGTTGCTCAGAGAATTCGGCAAACACGTTTTGCTGGTCTGCTTCTGGTCTATCTGCGAGTCCTAAAACATCTAAAGAGCAGAGTTGTTCGTAGTCCGCTGCCGATGTTTTCGTCAAATAAACGTTGGATAGCGCGGCTTCTCTCCCTGTGGACATCATCGTCCACCCCAGCATAGTGAACTCAGCAATGGGCTCAGACGGCTGACCAATTCTAGGTTTCGTCTCAGTTTTGATCCTTGAGTACTCGCTGGCGCCGAGTATCACATGAATGGGTAACTCACTCTTCTTGTCATCGTCATCCATGACCACTCCCTGCAGGTGACGATACTTGCTGATCAGTTCTCCATAATTCGGATTTGGGACTGTAAGTAGAACACCCTTGTCCACCTTATTGATCTTCGTCATCATCTCAAACTTCCCATCAACACTTTTAACCGTTACTGAATACCCTTGTACCTTTTGAACTGTTGAGCAAAGCATCATGTCAATCTGTCTATGTTCGATATGAGTTGGTCGCTTGTTAAGCCGTTCAATCAGAGCCGCTGACGCATAAGAACTACCCGCACCTGTGTCTAGTAATGCTCTGCATTTGATCCCATCGACGAACACCACTACCACCGGATAAATTACAGAACCCTCACCAGTTGCCAACATCATTTGACTGTTGCTAGGCAGCCTGTCACAAATAGACATGTGATGTCTGCCACCGCAATGTTGACAAGTGTACTTGCTGTGGCACTCCCGTGCTTGATGTCTTGTTCCTGTACAGTTGAAGCATAGTTTCTTGTCACTCAAGATCTGCCTGCGCTGGTGCAAGCCAGGGACTTTCTTGCACTGGGTGGAACTGTGATCCTCGCCATTACAATAGATGCAGTTACGCCCCACCTTCGCACTCTCATCTTTGGTCTGGTAAGCAGGATTTTTCCTTGCTTGGAAGCGATTTCGCGGGTCACGGTTCGGAGGATAACGACTTCGCAGGTCAGGCTTCGGCGGTTCAGGTGTAAGGGTTTCGCTGACAATAGGGTTACGGTCACACCACTTCCTCAGGGATTCGATTAGCTCTGCAAATCCCCACTCTTGCCAGTTATCGTCTAGACGTACCAGATCCGCTCTGATTCCAGGTAATTTATCAAGCGTCGCACGCACAAACCCTCCTATTTCGTTAACCTTGCCCATGGTCTCTAGCACTTGTATGTGACTTGTTAGCTTCTCGTAGAAATCATGGATTTTTGCTGGGTGTCCACCATGAACTGTGGATAATCCAATTATGCATTGCATATGTGCGTTTGCTACCTCACTGGGTTTACCATACTTGGTTTTCAATATAGCTTTGGCCCTTTCGTAACCCTCCGTCGTGAAAGGGAGTCCGTCAATGGACGCGCGGACACTGGGTACTAGTAACTCCTTCAGGTAAGAAAACTTAGCAACTTGAGTTAGTTTAGCCTTGTCGATTTCAGTTTCGAATTGATTCCAAAACCTCATCCAATCCAGGAAAGTCCCTTGAAATTTAGTTATCTCCAGTTTTGGCAATTTCGCTCCGACACTGCTCAAATTCCCAGATTCCTCCGTGGATGCCTTCGCCGTTTTCTCAAGACTCGCTCGCGCTTCGTGTTTAGCCTTTTCAAGCTGAATCTTTTCCTCCAAATTCCGTTTCCGTTTCTCTTCCTCGCGTTTTTCCTCTTCGATTGATCTAATACCGGCAGCTACGTATTCCACTTCTTTAAGAATTCCCTCAAATTTACTGATTTGGCTTTCTAAAGTTTCGGTCCAAAGTCTGACCTCTACAGGGTCATTCCCACTTTCAATACGCAACTCCTGAACTTCCAATTTGAGCTGATGTATTTTGTCAATAACGTGCTCCAGTGCGCTTCCATGCCTCTCAATTGTCTTCAGGTCTCCGGTCTCGATTACTTTCGCTGTATCTCCCGCTGTAAATTCAAGCATTTTCAGTTTACCTTGAATCTTCTCCTGCATTGTTTTGATTTCGCCTTCGGCGCTCATGTTGTTGACTTCGGTGTTTCTTCGCTGTGTTTACATGTAAAATTCCTCTCGTCGCTCACTTCTCGCCGCTCGCTGTTACTTTCTCGAATCACAGGTGTCCTGGCAGGGTCGCCACCTTTTGTTGCGATGATTCCAACAAAATTTATTCGTTTCTCGTTTGATAAACTCGCTCGTACTCACAAGATCGCTCGCTCTTTTTCTCCTCGTGTTCTAGTGCCAAAACCGGTCCCGACCGGTTCGGCTTACGTCACACACGCACCACAGGAACCCCATTTCGGGTCCGACATACATTTGACTTGGCTCTAAACGTTTAGACCTAAGTCAAATATGGGGTTACTGGCGGTGAATAACAATTCTCTATTTTTCTTAGTCACATCAGGCTTAAAAAACAGCATAGCAATCTCATGTACTGATTAAAGATATGTAAGGCATTGGTAAGGAGTCAATTACGTTGCGCATGGAATTGGCTAAAACTTAATGTTCCGAGTTCGAATGTTTTGAGGATAATTATTCACTGACTATCAGCACGCAGGGATGTCGGATTAACACAAGGAAGTTTAATACCAGAGGAACATAGCCAACACAAACTTGACTTGAACTTAAGTAAAACTAAACAACCTCTGCCAATAATAACAAACTCTCACTTGAACTTCAGATATCTTACGGCTTCAGGCAAATCGAACAGAACTTGAAAATCGACCTTCGTCACACTTGACTAAACACAGCAGTCCAGCTCGTGGGAAAAAAATTAGTTCTTCAAAAGAATTAACTTGGAACTTGTATACCGTTTGACATAAGGTTCTAGAAAATACTACACAGGCGAATAGTAGTAGCTTCTCGACATATTTTATGATTTCAGTAACTGAAGCAAATCTGCTGACTCATTCTGAAATATAAAAATGCCCTAATAAATTATTCATGAAAAATCCAAAAACGTACAGAACGTTCGAGAAAGTCACGCAACGCATGATTTTACTACGTAACACTCAACAAAGACAAAATGTCTTTGTGCAGCATTTTGTAACTTTAAATTCATCATAAAACAGTTCGAAAGGAGGGCTCACTCGTGAAATGGTTTTCAACACTCGAAGAGAAATTTCGTGTCTCTAGGCCACCATACTAGTCCGGTCTCATTTCGTGAAATAGCCGAAACAAGCCGAAAAGTCACGAACTTGCACGCCCAATCTTTTCCCGAAACTAAATAGTGCATCATTTCATAACTATTTTTCATATGCCGAATAACCTTGGGTTCCAGTAGCGCAATCGGCTAATCCCTCAACTTAGAGTCTCCTCTGATCTGACGGGTCACACAGGTGAGTCGCTTCAAACCGCGGGAAAGTCAAAATAATAATTCTTTCTTCCTCAAAAAATTTAAAGAATAAATCAAAGAAATCGAAGTAATCTCGAGATATCTCGAACTAATTCGGCTTTCACTTCGTCAAATAGCCGAATAAAACCGAAAACCTACAGACTTTGCGTGCCCAATCGCATGGCATACAGAAAGGTTACTACCTCATGTACGGTACACAAATAGTAAGCGTTCCCGTTCGTCAATAACTCTTGCCCATAGTAGTCCAGCAACCACTAAGCTAAGAATAATTGATGGACTTGATCAGTTCGTTACCTAATCACGTGATTCGTGAAATGACTCCAAAAGGGGAAACGTGATTCGTGAATGTACGGAAATTTAACCCGTGATTCGAGATCCGGACACCCCCTTCCAGACCCTGTGTACATATGCAGTCTGTAAGAAAGCCCCGGGAAAAATTAAAGACAAATATATGGAAAATCTAAAACAAGCCTCTGGAGAAATTTAAGCACAGGTTCGCCACCAAGATTTTTTAGTACAATCCGTTGCTTTGTAGCTTTAGGTCCCAATTCATATTGTTTTCAGAACAGCCGTTTTACGGAAATTATTCGACATTAGATTATCATATAAAAACACTGTAATTTCTCATGAGGTTGCCTAGTCGTCAAGATGGCTTCCAAAACCGTGACAAGGTCTACCTACATTCGACATACTATAATTGGCGCATAATTGGGGCTATATTAATTTCGTACTATATATCTATGGATGTTTACGTTGTTATTGGGTGCGGTTCTATATATGAGCGCTTCGCTGAAAGTAAAAGCCATTTGTCGATGTGACTTGACATCAATTTCACTTAATGATAGTTTTAACTAAAAGACACTATCGATTACTTCGCTGGTTACACCCATGTTTTAGAACAAGATGTGACAAATCATAGAGGGTATTAGCGGATATGGCACGTGCTCGCTAATCCAACTGTTCGTTGCCTCTGGACACGATTGGAAAAGCTAGTTGATGAAGAACACATGATTAACTTGGTGAATTGAAAAAAGCGAATAAACCTGATGCACTCACCTAATGGTGTATAATCTGTTGCGCTGTTTCCTTTGGGTCTGTAACCAATGTAACGAACAGGTAAATCCTCCATGACCAGCATCAAATCAAACTCGTTGGGCTCTTTAACTTTTGTTCCTTCGTAATAGCTCCCGGTGGGGAAAGTACGCAGAGAGGCGAAACGATCATCTGTTCTCTTCACGTAGTCCACAATCGCTTTTACAATTGGCTGCCAACATTCCAAAGCTTTAGTTCTCATTTCTCGTCTTGTTTTCACTTTACGTTCAGTATACCAATTAAGAAAATTATTTAAATTCGGCCGCGGGTTACTCAT